GCCACCTGACTGATACAAATATGTACTATGACTATTATATGCTACTGTATACAGCTAATTTTATTTTAAGTAAAATCATAACTATTTTATGTAGTTTAATCATTGTTATTTAGGTGGTCACTCAGTTTTTCAAATGTACACCACTCGCCAACAGGGTGTGCTGCAGCACCCCCAGCACCCCTACTTCCCGCGGCTATGCTTCTGTGTCAAAACTAGCATTGTGATCCATGTTTATTCATACGTTAGACCGGCCGCTCTCCCCCTTGTTTTCCCCATGTCATGGGGAAAACAAGGGGGAGAGCGGCCGGTCTAACGTATGAATAAACATGGATCACAATGCTAGTTTTGACACAGAAGCATAGCCGCGGGAAGTAGGGNCAGTTTATGGATAATGGTGACCTTTTTTTTAAAAATAAAAAAAATTCGTATAAAAATCACTGGGCTCGCTCCGTTCACCTTTCATGCAAATACGACCGGGCCCCACAGATTTATTCACGAAGGCTCGGTCGCCCGGTAAATATTACGCTCGGGACGAGAGACAGTGACACGTACACACATTACAAACACACGTTTCATCTGGCCCCGGACGCAACACGACGGACGCACACACTGACAGATACTCCCTCCTTTCCTTTCGGTAAAACCGGCGCCGCCCCTTAACTAAACTGTTATACATATGAGCTACAAGTGCCTACACAAATAAATGCCTGTAGCGTACCTCACGTTAGTGCTACATAGACAACATTTTGAAGCTATATAGCGGGTTCGGGATGCCCACCTCACACCGACAACACATCTCGGACAAGACACAGGGCTCGTGACAACCCACATGCGCAATAGTTTCCATTGCCTCCAATGTCATTTACATAATGAAAAACGACCATTGCGGTCATACATTGCGAAATGGTTTACTGTAAACGCCATTATATTATGGGCCATTATATTATTAGCAATGCTAAGAGTCATGCGTGCAATGTTGTGTAAAATTGGACTTTAATTCACACAAAACCAAAAAAATGCCTTAAAGTGGAGTTGTAAGGCTGTAAGGCTCGCTAAGGGTTTTTAACACGCCCCATATAACATTCGGAACACAAATGCATTCTCTATTACACCGTCGCTCCCGCCCCAGTAATACCACCTTTTATTTTGGCTGTCGACTAGTCCCTCGGCTGGCGCTTCGTGGAGAAATACATGTAATAAATAAATGTCCTGCCTATCCGTCCAAAGAACCTTAAAGAAGTAAATCCCGTTGCCGGAAAACGGGAAAACACAGTGTGTAAAAAAGTCCGCGTTCCCGGTAGTACGGTCCAGTGTTTCCGGTAACTCCCTTTGTAAACCTAAACCTCGAATGTTTATTATTGAAGTGAAAAGACTATTCATTTTGTTTAAGTGACAAAATTATAGTTATACAGTTTGTATTAGTAAGTATATCCGGATACGGAGTGAAATCATAATGGCATATATTTTATTATGAAATGAAACTTAATTATCACAACATACAAAGGGTAGATGAAGAGGGTAAGTAGATTTTTAATATAATTATAACATTGTTTATAAAGTTAAAGTCCTCGTCTTCTTGTCGGAAAGTTCTCAGTTTGAAGACGTGTAAAATGTAACACACGACACACACA